ATCGTGTCATCACAGCAAATCAGATCAGCGCTCGTCTTCAAACAGACACTGGTGTGAGAGTGAGTGGCCAGACGATTCGGAATCGACTGCATAGGGGTCACCTTCGCGCCCGACGTCCTCGCGTGATCCCTTGTTTGAGAGATCATCACATTCAGGCAAGACGTCGTTGGTGTAGGGATCGTCAACACTGGGATAATCGACGCTGGAGCAATGTGATGTTTTCAGATGAGTCAAGATTCACTGTTGATTTTTTGGACAGACGTAGGAGGGTGTGGCGTCGTCGAAACGAGCGCTTCCAAGACGTTAACGTCATCAGACATGATCGATTTGGGGGTGGTTCTGTTATGGTGTGGGGAGGCATCACTGTTGCTGGAAGAACGGCTTTACATGTTGTTGCAGGGCGTGTTACAGGCCAGTACTACCGGGACAACATCTTGGCAGTCCATGTTGTGCCGTTCGCACGACGTCATGGCCGCCGTTTCATCTTCCAGGATGACAACGCAAGATGTCACAGGGCCAGGATCGTTACAGGTTACCTCCAACAACAGAACATCACCACATTACCTTGGCCAGCACTGAGTCCCGACCTCTCCCCCATCGAGCATGTCTGGGACATGCTTGGACAGAGGTTACGTCAACGTCAACAACGTCCTGCCAATGTCCAAGAACTTGCTGCTGCGTTGCAACAGGAATGGGACAATCTGGACCAAAATGACCTTAGACGTCTCATTAGGAGTATGCCACGTCGGATCAATGCTTGTTTGGCAAACAGAGGAGGATTTACCCGTTACTGACTTGGTTGTGATGCTGTGGTAACTTAGCTGTTTGACCCCGGGTATCATTTTACCCTTATAATGGTCAGTCTGTGCCTTACTTAGTCTAACGATCATTTGGAATAAATCGATGAATGTGAACTTCATTTCATTTTGTCATTTGTTTCTTCGTCAGTTTCATTAGGTGACTTTAATAACACTTAAAAATCAAATATCCCCTACTTTTTTTGAATAGTATACTATACTCGGTATATTTATCACTTACCATATATTTATCACATAATATTATTAGCGCAAATACTTAGTAATTCCACCATATTCCCCCAATTTGTTAGGATGAACTATACGGGGGGGGGGGGGGAATTAACTTCTTTAGGAGCCCCTGATCATACTATACTCGGTATATTTATCACCATACCATATATTTATCACATAATATTATTAGCGCAAATACTTAGTAATTCCACCGTATTCCCCCAATTTGTTAGGATGAACTACCATTGTATGGTATGATCAAACGGTGATGGATCAGTTTTTGTTGACTGTGTGATGGAGTATCAGGGGCCATACTATTTACCGGAAAACAACCGGAAAACACTATTTTATACTGAATACCGGAAAACACCGGTATATTTTAATAAACAATTTACTATTCCATTTTTTATAGGATTTACTTTTAAGTATTTTGTGAGTTTAGACGTAAATTGTTGTTTTGACCTATATAATTACCTCCCTTTCTTGTACCATACTTTTCCTGGAATTGATACGGAATGTATCAACTTCGGGCCAGTAGAGATAATTCCTTTGTTCTGTAAAGACGCGTTTCATGTCGTTTTCATTATACCCATTATTTTAGGGTTTATACATATTATGTTATTATTACTCTTATTTTGTATATATTAGAAGAGTTTGTATATATTTGGAACCTTGTTGGGTAATATTTTGAGACCGGTAAATCGATTATTCTGTTCTTGTCTGTTCGTTTAACTTACCACACGTTGAGACGTAACACCTGGAACTTCAACTCGAACTATTTAGAGATTTATTTACTCGCTTTTGATGATACTTGCTGTTTTATGATGCGATTTTTTGTTACCTAGGGAGGAGTTGGCCTAGTCGTGCCTTCCACTAATTCGTACCACCCTGATGCCAGCGTTACTGATAAGAATCAGGAGACCGGCGCAACCGGCATATAATGGGGCCCTCCGAGGCAGTGTTTAATCTACTGAAATACTGAAATCTACTGAAATTTACTGAAAACTAAAATTAAAATACAAAATAAAATATGGTCAATGATGGAGGGAGACTGATTGCGTCTTTTAAAACATTCTAAACATAACAGGCATCAACAAAATTTTGGATAAAAAAAATAGGAAATTTTTTTATTTATTTTTTGGGGGGGCTGGAGGGGCTATTTGTAAAACGAACATCGTTATGACCTTGACCTTCCTTCATCGGCGCTCACTTGGTCCAAAACCGCACACAGAGGACCAGGCTCCGGGTTACCTATTTAGGGTGTTTTCCGGTATTAAGGATGTTTTCCGGTATTTAGTGTCTTTCTGGTGTTTTCCGGTATTCAGTATAAAATGGTGTTTTCCGGTAAATAGTATGGCCCCTGATACTCCATCACACAGTCAACAAAAACTGATCCATCACCGTTTGATCATACCATACAATGGTAGTTCATCCTAACAAATTGGGGGAATACGGTGGAATTACTAAGTATTTGCGCTAATAATATTATGTGATAAATATATGGTATGGTGATAAATATACCGAGTATAGTATGATCAGGGGCTCCTAAAGAAGTTAATTCCCCCCCCCCCCCCCCGTATAGTTCATCCTAACAAATTGGGGGAATATGGTGGAATTACTAAGTATTTGCGCTAATAATATTATGTGATAAATATATGGTAAGTGATAAATATACCGAGTATAGTATACTATTCAAAAAAAGTAGGGGATATTTGATTTTTAAGTGTTATTAAAGTCACCTAATGAAACTGACGAAGAAACAAATGACAAAATGAAATGAAGTTCACATTCATCGATTTATTCCAAATGATCGTTAGACTAAGTAAGGCACAGACTGACCATTATAAGGGTAAAATGATACCCGGGGTCAAACAGCAAAGTTACCACAGCATCACAACCAAGTCAGTAACGGGTAAATCCTCCTCTGTTTGCCAAACAAGCATTGATCCGACGTGGCATACTCCTAATGAGACGTCTAAGGTCATTTTGGTCCAGATTGTCCCATTCCTGTTGCAACGCAGCAGCAAGTTCTTGGACATTGGCAGGACGTTGTTGACGTTGACGTAACCTCTGTCCAAGCATGTCCCAGACATGCTCGATGGGGGAGAGGTCGGGACTCAGTGCTGGCCAAGGTAATGTGGTGATGTTCTGTTGTTGGAGGTAACCTGTAACGATCCTGGCCCTGTGACATCTTGCGTTGTCATCCTGGAAGATGAAACGGCGGCCATGACGTCGTGCGAACGGCACAACATGGACTGCCAAGATGTTGTCCCGGTAGTACTGGCCTGTAACACGCCCTGCAACAACATGTAAAGCCGTTCTTCCAGCAACAGTGATGCCTCCCCACACCATAACAGAACCACCCCCAAATCGATCATGTCTGATGACGTTAACGTCTTGGAAGCGCTCGTTTCGACGACGCCACACCCTCCTACATCTGTCCAAAAAATCAACAGTGAACCTTGACTCATCTGAAAACATCACATTGCTCCAGCGTCGATTATCTCAGTGTTGACGATCCCTACACCAACGACGTCTTGCCTGAATGTGATGATCTCTCAAACAAGGGATCACGCGAGGACGTCGGGCGCGAAGGTGACCCCTATGCAGTCGATTCCGAATCGTCTGGCCACTCACTCTCACACCAGTGTCTGTTTGAAGACGAGCGCTGATCTTATTTGCTGTGATGACACGATTTCTCAAGGCCAAGGTACGGATAAATCGATCCTGGGCTTGAGTTGTCGCCCTTGGTCGACCTGAGCGTGGTCTGTCCTGTACAGATTGTGTATCACGGTATCTGGACCATAGCCTGCTTATGACAGACTGAGAAACATTCATCGTCCGCGCCACAACCGCCTGTGTTGTGCCGATCTGTAGCATGCCAAGGGCACGTAACCTTTCATTTTGGGTAAGCCGACGCATATCAAAATTTGTTTTCTGGTCACTAAAACAATTAAACTGATGTTTCCACCCTGGAATTCAATGCCACGATGACTGTAACATTCAAAGTCAGAGTCGTGCAAATCTTGGGTTGGACCCCCATGATGATCCCAAGCATCACATGTAACTGGAAATGTTTCTTCTGTTAGGTTCTATAGTGACTTTTTTCGTAGTCATTTGCATATTTTAGTATTATGCCCCCAAAATCAAATATCCCCTACTTTTTTTGAATAGTATATGATCAGGGGCTCCTAAAGAAGTTAATTCACCCCCCCCCCCCCCGTATAGTTTGGGTGGCCATTTTTATTCATGAATTTACTGCGTCGTTTTTGATGAATTGATAGAATTACTCTCTTGTGTATTATCTACCTGATGGTTTGTAGTCTTTGTAGTCCGTTTTTCAAAGTATTTCTCAGTTGGGGCCTAGTCCCCACTCCATCCCTGTGTCCAGGAACAATTTACTCCATAAACCCATTTTATGTCAATTTTTTTTAGCAAGTCTGTTCTCATGACAGGTGCACTTCATGACCTAAGAGATGTGCTTTGATAATGTCATCGAACAACTTGAAATTTATCAACGTGGCAAGAGTATCTTTCATTTCGTAATATATGTGGGGATTGCTAAAATGTTTTTCTTAATTGGGAATACCAAGAAAGTTTATTTTAAGTCATGCACACCGTAAACCCAATTTTTTGCAACGTCGTCAAACCTCAGTTCATTTCATAGAATATGTTGGGAATACCAAATAAAATCCCATGTAACAGAAATAAGATTAACAAATTTAGCACCGTCATTCCGTTTGTAAAGCACGCAGTTTAAAACATGGACACAGTAAGCTTTATTTTAGTTAAGGTGTCGTTTTACAGACCCCATACTGGCAAAACAATCGATTACTTCAGCTTTGCATAATTGCATAATTTAATCCCTGTCACGTTTTAAACAAAATGACGTTGCTAGGTGCATTTACTATCAACCAATGGAACCACAAAACGTATTAAAACACACGCCGCAATGCGTTACGGGTTATTTTTAGAATTTTTAAAATAATTTCCTATAAATATGAAGAAACTGAAACATGTTGATTATATACGCAAGAATACTATCTCACAGTCTGAAGCCATAATATTAATAATTATACACACAAGATGAGCAATAATCCAAACCCGGATTATGTTCTAAATGTAAGTTATTTATTTATTTATTTATTTATTACGTAATCTTCGAAAATCAATGAAATGACATTTTATTATTTATATAGATAATGCACCTTCGTCCGTCATCACAGGGCTGTAAGATTTTCATTGTTGTTTTAAACTTCGTACAAATATCACTTCCCCCCCACGAGAAAGACCTTGTACGTGCGCTTGGATAATAAAAATAAGACAATTCGTCTGTGGCATCACCCTCGGTGGAAGCGGACCTTAAACACTAATAGAAGAAGTTTCGCCGATTTCTTGGCACTATTTCGTGTTTGTGGTAATGTATTTCGTTATTTTGGCCAATTAATTAAACCGTTTCGTTATTTTTGGCAATTTATATAACACACTATTGGCATACTTTTTTGATTTAGAATTGTATGTACTACAAATATAAATATTTTAAAATATTATTTGTTGATAGCAGTAGATATCTTGCACATTTGGCCGTGACAAATTCGATATATCTTCCGAATTTGGAAAATAAGTGGGACATAATTTAATAATCGTATTTCCTGCTTATATGTTAATCGATATTATTGAATGATATGATGAAACAGCTGGGAAATATATCGGGTATTCCAACATGATCACTATAAACTGCGACCACAAAAGCCCTGCAATAATGCATCAAATCAGTTGCTTACTTCATTTCGTCAACAACGCAATAAAAGTGTGTTATCGGTTATGGGTATAGCACACTTCTCAAAAGAAATCAATCTATTTTCGGCCTCAGTCAAACTATTCTTCAAATAGATTTATACATTTAGATTATCAGCAGACGTCTGCATTATATTTCGAAAGAAAAATTTAGAGCTTGTCTCACCACTAATCCAAACAAACATCTGATAAAAACAATTTAACACTTTATTAAGGCATAAATTCTGGTATCATGGTAGCCAATAGTGGTTGTTAAGGAGTTCCGCCGACGTTTGCACTTGGATTTTGATATTCGTTTGAACTTATGCGTTCAATTTGAATTTATAGATAATGTTTTTACAGTATTTCTTATTCGTAGCCCCACCCCACCCCCGCCCTCCTCCATATCCCATCATAATAATGTCCAGTCCAATGGGAATTTGCAACATCGATTTATTTTCAATTTTCAGCGAAGAAAAAGAAAAAGCTGTTTAACATCCAACGATTGGGTGATAACGAAAGGCGGAGAAAGAAAGTATCTTCAATATCTAAAGACTGGTGAAGAAGTTCAGGAAGTAATGCCAGATGGAACGTTGGGATATACTAAAGTATACTGTTTTTCTCATAAAGATCCTCACCAGTCTAGCCCGAACTACCTAGAGATAATAACGGGTACACGCAGCATAACACTAACTAATAACCACCATCTGGTATTGTCTGATGACGAATCGAATTCTTCAAGAACTTATAAAATGGCTAAAGAAGTCAAGGTAGTAACTTCGCCCCAATACATTTATATTAATTTATCTGGTTTAGAAATGTTGTTGTAGTTGTATGTCAGATCTTAGATATTATTCTCCGTGTGACAATGCGATCACCAAATTGTGTTGTTGGTCAGTTCAATTTAAACTGTCTAACGTTGCATGGGACCAATTATCGCCTTAAAGTGAGCTTTGTCCAAGAAGACCATGAAATGTGAACGTAATATTCTTGACCAGTAAACACGTTGCAACTATAATGCCCACTGCAGTGTCCTTATAACATGACAATACTATGTTACTCGAGGTCCACTAATAACATCTAATTAGACAAATTATTGTCACTTCCAACCCTTGCCTTTGGGAAGTAGAAGTGAACAAGAAAAATATTCTAGGCCAAACCTCTATGGACAGGGAGGGGTCTAGTGGTTTAACGTGTGCGCCTGAAATCACAAGGTCTATCTCTCTCTCCCTCTCCATCTCTCTTATAGACAGTCCAGGGCTGTGATATAGCCTTATCATAAACGACAAGATAGTTTAAACATAAGGGTGTATTCTTTTTGCAGATAGGGGATCGCCTGGTTTGCCATGATGGTCAACATACAACTGCCGAACAGATCACAGACATCAAAGAGGTAGAAGGAAAAGGTGCGTTTGCTCCCATAACAAAATCTGGTGAGCTCCTGGTGAATGGGATTCAAGTGTCTTGCTATTCCAGCGCGGATCCAAACCTGGTCCATGCCGCCCTGACACTATTTCGGTTGACCTATGACGTTACACCAACATCTATTTTCGATACTTTATTATGGCCCAATGAAAATGGAAATCCATATATTTTTGGAGCAACAGTTAAATTATATAATCTGTTTACCTCTAAAGAATAAATAAATTCCCATTAAATGCGTATTTTTTTATTTCTTTTTATTTATTTTTTTTACTCTTACATATATTATAACGTATTCTACTAATAAAGTAAGTGATCTCTTTGGTTTTAGATAATAAGAAACGTTGTATTGAAATGTATAGGCCTATTATCTATTCAGTAGTAATATCAAAGATCAATTTGTTCATATATTTCAATATGTCCGCAGTTTAATGTGGTCATCTATTGCCGTTACCCATTTAGTACCTATCTGATGTAATTACCCAAGTTGTTATAATTTTAAGATGGTTGCCAAACTTCTTTGGCCAGCATAATAACTACTGTATTCATTTGTTCATCCAATATTCGAAATCCTGTAAATCTTGTCTGCCCGTAAACCCTTCTGGATAGTCAAACGAAAGAACCATTCTGTCCCTTTTTTAAAAACTTTTATGAGTGTTATTTTGATTCGATTTTAACATACCATCGTTGATAATGGAGATCCTTGTAGTAATGGGTTGCCTCTATTTATTTCCCTTGACATTCTATCCAACTTTATGCAATCACTCCATTATTTTTTCAAACCTTCTATAGGCTTCTTTAACGACTCACGTGAACACTTTCGAAATTCAGTGCCATGCGTCAATTATTCGCGGAGTTATTGTCACTGCACTTGAAAGTATTGTAATTGTTCCAACATGTTTGACTAGTCATAAGGGTGAACTCTAACAAAATTAAGAGCCCCACACCAGTCAGTGCCATATAAACATTGTGCGCTTGTGTTGGCATATATTTCGTTGCCTGCCAATCTATTTTTACAGACGGACTGAAAGATTTAGCTATTAGTGTCAGTATCTGGAATCAGAAACATCTATATATTATAAATTCCAATATTCATAATTGTGTGATTTCATTTAAATTAAAGAAAAGCTTTATTCCAATAAATATTATTCTGTGTATTTGATTTTCATTTATTTCAATAATTATAATTGTGTTCAATTGATTTCATTTATATTAAAAGAAAAGCTTTATTCCAATAATAATAATAATAATAATAATAATTCTGTACATTTGATTTCCATTGATAAAAAATCATTTTAATTCATCTAATTAAATATGCATCATTATTGAATTATAAATTAGCCTGTTGTCAAATATATACATTTGTGCTACAATAATTTGTTTGTATTATATACATCTGCTAAAGTTAATTTGTATTGGATCATATTAATAAAATACTCTTCTCATTATTTTTTTGTTATTCACCCACACAATTTGGGCTAATAGATTGTCGTCTCCACAGTCCTGGATTCTTGTAAATACTCTACTGGTCATAGTTTGTGACGGATTATGTTTCAGATACGAGGGTATAAGGCAGAACCGTGTAGTAAATTTCGAACGTGTATTGCGGAGTGATCTTTTGTCTATTGAAGCATGTCAGTGAGATATAGGTAAAATTTTACATTAAAGTCCACAGCAGGTCGACAATCACTGAAATATAAACCGCCTAATGGTTTTGATGGATTATATAATTATTTTCAATATGTGTAGATTCAGAATCCGGATGATGCCATCATGGCATCCTTGGGAAAATTTAAATATTCAAGATGGCCCCATGAGACATTTTCTGTTTAATCAGTTGAGTAAATTTATGACCAATTATCGGGGACCTCGGTTTGAAGGTGGTTTCTATAAGTATTCGACCTAATGGATCAGATGCGCTTCGGTATTCCTCCCAAAAGTGACGGCTTATTCCGCTAGAGGCCAAATTCAAAATGGGGGTTCATTTTTGAGGAAAAATCATTAAGTCCCTTATAGGTGAGTAATATATTGACATATAGGTTTTCAGGGTCAGTTAATTCAGATACAAACATAAACATATGTTCCGACCAAAATAATTCCAATATGACCACTATATTCAAAATGGCGATTACATTTGGTGAAATGTTTTAATGTTAGTAATATGATGGTGCAATACATTATGGATGCATTATTCAAGACCTAAATCTGTATTGCAGGTCTTTCTTTGGGTCTTAAATGTTATATAAATGATTAATTAGACATGTATTAACATGAAAAGACCTCAATCAACTCTCAAGGCCCGCTGGTGGTCCTGATTTTAAGTAGATCAGAACGGTCCGGTCATTTAATGATTTAATATAAAAGTGCAGACGCGAGGTTAACTCTCGAACAACCAGTACTGTAGTAATGATAGTGATACTAATCAATGCACACATCTTTTCAAAACTACAAATATTGATAACTTCGCTCAGAATAAAGTAATTTGAATGAAATTTTCAATATATTCATGTTGCATTATCTACTTTGAACTGTTATAGCAAGAACTACAAGCTCTTTTATCTAAATGTTACATAAATCATCTTTAAACCATGGGTTTTCGGGGTCGCCGAATTCATATCGAAACAGCAAAATGTGCTATGACCGAACGAAACGCCAATATTGTTTTCAAATTAGATAAGTTAAGGAGACGATGAAAGAAAACTTATAGTTTATTAACATATTAATCCATCACATTCTCTATTTCGTGTGACTTGTCAGTGATGCAGGAAGGGGGGGGGGGGGCTGACAAGGACAGCTGTCTAGTCATTCGGATGAGACGACAAACCGAGGTCCCGTGTACATATTGGCGTGCACGTAAAAGATCCCTTGGCAGTTGGAAATCGATATAAGAGTGTGTCGCTGTCCGGACAAAATTTCTCTCACAGCACACTGTATGGCGTATGAACGTCTTCATTAGCCCAGTTCGGAGCAAAACAGTAGGATGTTAAACCCCATTTCATTTCATTTCAGTTCGTGTGACGTAAGATATTCTGTGGCAAGAGTATAATTCGTTTCTTAGAATATGTGGGGATTATCAAACATATTTTTCATAAATGGGAATACCAATAAAAATTTCTCAACAGTATTTTTAATCATACACACCGTAATGTGGCGGGAAGTATACTTCGATCCCGACTTCATTATCACGGTTGGTGAAGAAAAGTTCAATGTCAAATCCCATTTTATTTCATTTTAGCCTTCGATTCATAGAATATGTTGGGAATACCAAAAGAAATCCCATTGTCATTCACTTTGCATAGAACTTTACGTTTAAAGTAAGCTTTATTTTAAGTTATAGTGTCGTTTTACTGACCCGGGGAGGGGGGGTGTCCGAATGGGTAGCACGTGCGCGCTGTATCATAAGTTCTGTCATTGAGTCAACTGGCATGGTCTCGATTCCTCGGTTGTACGTGACAAGGAGTAGGGTCGCCTGTGCAATCTCGTGGGTTTTTCCAGGTTCACCGGTTTCCTCTCACTGCTAAAGACCCCTACGCGCAAGTGAATTACTGAAAAAAATTGAACCATGTGTTAGTTCCGAAATGGCCTAGTTTGTGTCGAGTGGACGTTAAACCCATCCCTCTCTCTCTCTCTCTCTCTCTCTCTCTCTCTCGTTTACTGACCCCCAACAACCAGCAAACATAACTGATTGATATCCCGTTATAAAACAAATTGTTTGAACATGCAGACATTGTGCAACATAGTATTGGTTGGCGTATGAGCCAAGGGAGCGGGGTTATCGCCTTCATACTTTCTGGTAAGCAAAAGAAATAAAAACAAAATCGGACAGTGAAACCAAAAATATGAACTAAATAACAATGATGGCAAATTAATTGCCGGCTGATAGTCAACTAAAATTAATTATAAACAACCTTCTTTGATTGAATTCCTTTATTTCTTTCAGGAATATGGGAATTAGCCCATTACTCTTACTTCAAATGTCCAGTTTGTTCGTGGATGAAAGTCGGGAGTCGATCACACCCTGTGTCTGTTCATTATCAATACAAAAAACGTTTTTGTTTTGTTTTTTTCGCTCGCGCCGCGACACGTTATGCCTGAAATAATTTTAATTTTACCACGAAAATAACTTTAGGTACGCCACTGTTTGTACTTGTTTTATTCATTCTGTCGGTATTTACTAAATTTTGTACCTATGATATATTATAGAGTAATTAACACACCAAGTAAGTTGTTTTAATGGCATTTGAACTGGACATAAACAGAACAAACACAATTCTATGAAATACAGAGATTAAATGAAATGTATGCATGAAATGGGCTTTTTACGAGACAAACTAAACAATATCACAAACATATATCTATTTATATATATAGATAAAAACAAATATCACAGATCGTAAAAAAATCTTAAAAACAAATGGCATAATTATGTATATAAATAGTTTTAAATGAAAAAAAAACAACGCTTACAGATACACAATTAATATTTATAATAAAATACTAATTAAATTATTTTTACTCAAATAATCGATATACGCTTGTACATATGTATTCTTTTTCAGTATCTATTTCTAAATCTTACATACTTTAGCGTGGATTAAGCAGTGTAGGAAAACCCATTGACATATTGATTGTCTGTATCGATTATTAAATGTCACGTTTGCATATTTGATTGATTGTCTGTTTAAGTGATATGTTGAAAAGACTGGAAAATAAATCGGGTATTCCAATATCAATATTGTATCAAATTTGTTGCTTACTTGATCAAATTTAGAAATTAAATTGGGTGTGGACAGGTAAATTTCTTGAATAATATACCATAATATATATATAGGCGATTAAAAAATTTCGTGAACACCATAGCATAGATATACGCATTCGTCTATTTGTTTCAAAATGAATATTAATCCACGGCAAATTTTTTATGGGGTAGTTAGTTCCAACATAAGGATAGCATTTGGTTTATACAGAAAGTATCTCATGGCGGGACGATTTACCCAATACTACCCAATACCACCTCAATATCACCACATGCATTTCCATATTTTCTGAAAATCGATCAAATTTTGGGGGAATCCTTCGTATATGACGTCTTAAATGAGGAATACTCTTTACACAATGTGAAGGCTGGCTCTTTTTTATTATTATTATTATTATTATTATTCAATCGCCGCTTTTTTCAAACTTGCGAACTGAAGCAGAACCGTTGTTTTATATAGATTCTCACATTCTTATTTCGTTTCGGTTTTTATAGTTTAAATTTCGTTTTATCTGCCTTCAGTACACTTGGATCTGGAAGAGTTTTTATATAGTCCGCGTTCTGATTAATATGAGGGATTAGCCAAGACAGGGCATATGTCTGGCGTCATAAAGTCAAAGACGCTCGTAAGACCCCTCAGGCGACCTCCCAGTACAACTTGTCAGATCCCCATCTATTTTACAAGGCGATATGCATAATTACGAGACGTAAACAGGGCTAGCGCTAACCCTAACCCTAACCCAAGATCTAGCCCTACAAGAAGATAGCGCCCCAAGTAGATTCCGACAACCAGACGCCCGTGTTAAATCGACTAATTCTCGACAGAAAACCGTAAGCAGATCTAATTTCCATCTCAACACAGACAAATCTACCTTCAGAAAACCTATCCGGAAAGCGGCGAAAGATCACCCCAGCAGTGCTATATAAATTTAAACTGACCCGTTCCATAAACCAAGACCATAAATAGGCGCGATATTCGATAGAATTTTCTAACCCTAGGTCAGCGCTTTTCGGCCATAGGCAACATTCTTAGAGTGGACCCTAAAGGTCTAGCCTTTAAATCCTAACCCACAATCCTCGACAACATCTCGGCGACCTTAACCAATTATGCATTTGGCCTCGTAAGTGGAGGCCATCGGAAGTATAGAAAAAACGAAACGAAATATAGATCTATATTTTAACCAGATTGGTTGGCTGTAGACATCTGTACAAGATTATGATACTTCGTATCAATGACCCAAAGTATGGTTCGCTAGCCTTGAGATCGCGGGCTCGATCCCGGTGTTGGCTGAGAAAGTTTATCTAGATTTTCCTGCGTGGATTCCCCTAGTCCGTGGTGAAGGACAGTGGGACTGACAAGGACAGTTGTCTAGTCGTTCGGATGGGACGAAAAACCGAGGTCCCGTGTACACATTGGCGTGCACGTAGAAGATCCCTTGGCAGTTGGAATTTGATATAAAAGTAGGTCGTAGCGCCGCTGTCCGGGCTAAAATTTTCCCCATAGCACACTACAAGGCGCATTAGTCCAGTCGGCGCAGAACAGTAGAACGCTAAACCCCATTTCATTCCATTTAATTTATTCACTAAAGCAACAATTTCGGTGCGAAAACGGCCAAATGACAAAACTAGATCTTTTTGATCAAGATTGAACAATGCCAAATTCATGAACGGTACGCATTCGTCTATTCGTTT